GGCAGAGTGGGTAGCACGTTCGCCTCACAGGAAGAAGGTCTCTGGTTCGAACCTCGGCTCAGTTGGCATTTCTGTGAGTTTGCATGTTCTCCCTGCGTTCCTCCAAGTACTCCGGTTTCCCCCACAGTCCAAAGACATGCTAAAGGTGAATTGGGTAAGCTAAATTGTCCATAGTGTACGAGTGTGTGAATGTGACAGGTCCATATGACAGGCCGGCCGAAAGGTGTAAAAAAAGTCGTTATCATATGGACTTGTTCCAAAAAGAGCCGACCCTGTAATCATACGGGACAAAGGCCAAAGAAAAGGAAGAAGAAGAAGATATATATATACATTACTTATGAAAACTAAGTATGTCTCTCAAAATGTTCATAGACTGATCAAAATTATTTAAGCTGTTTAATTTATTCTTCTGAGAAATCTTTCCATTTTCCATGACTGACAGATTTATTTAGCCTACTTTTTGTTGTTTACAAATAAACACAGACCAGAGAACATAAATAATCTCAAACCTTCTTGCGTCCCTTATTAAAACTTAAATTAAACAGTACAGTTTATATGGATTTTTTTTTCATCTCTTTACGAACGTTTTGAAATGTTACGTTACATTTGACAGAACCTGATACAAAAATATTTCTTTGTCTTCTTAAGAAGCAAAAAAATTGGTTTGGAACAACACAAAACACTCCTACTTTCTAGAAATGAAAAATCTGTCACCGTTAACTCTACATTAAATAATGTGTGAAATGGACAACCATTTAAAATAAAAAAAATAATTTCTCGGACTGTTCCTATAGTGTCCGTTAGATGGCAGCAGCGTACATATAATCAGCAAGAATCATATTCTTAGATTTTCCTCTGAATGTTTTCTATTAACATAATTGTTATCAATTCTTTCAACATTACTATTAATTAAACTTTCAAATTGCCAATGAATTAATTGAGAATCCCTCTGCCACGTGCCCCGTTTCTCTTTTCGAGAGCCTTTCACCACTCCTAGATAGATTTTCTGTCCGTTTACTGTTTGGGAGATCGAACGCTAATTAAGATCGTTAATGAAGATTTCATTTACCAAAACACAATATGCCAGTTCAGCTTCAACACACAACACTGACGCCAGGAGATGAGAAAATAAGGTAGCCCAACGTTTGTTACCTGCTACAAACAAATTCATTTTAGCTCAAATAGAGAATACTGTAGGCCTAACGTAAGTAAAATGTTTTTGAACGCCTGTGATTCGGCACGACCATGCATTAATCACTGCCATTCAAATAACAAGGCCTACTTAACAGTTTAACTTGTGATGTTTATATAGTATACTAATTATATAAGTGAATACTTGGTAACTTACATTTCAGGACATTTGGCCTGTCAACAAAGCGTATCCCCAAGCAAGATGTGTTCAAATCCAGAATGAGCCGTTGATGTGGGAATCGGTTGAAAGATTCAATGACTCGCTCATATTGCTAATCAACAGGACTGGGGCGGTTCGCGTATCTGAATTTTTACAGGGCTGTAGCCAATGCAAACAGGTCCGTTGCAGTTATATGCCTAATTTTCTAATTAATTATGGGATTTAAATACTGCATTTTAGTGACATTTTAAGCTGCATTAGCTTGTTGGATGAAATCACATTTTTTGATGTACCAAAATTATTTCCTAAAAATGTAGAATAAAGAAATATGAAAAAGTATTTATTTTTAAAATGCTAATTTATCACAACATTTGTCATAAAAATAAAATATGTTAAAGTAAGTGGCATATTGCTATTTATTATGCAAATAACAAACTGTCCCAAAGCACATTCAACTTTTTTTAGAATTTGGCCATTTGACTGATAAAAAAATTAAAACAACAACAACAATAATAATAATAATAATAATAATAATAATAATAATAATAATAATAATAATAATGTAAAGCAGATTGTATGTTTTCTTGCACAGCTGGATGTTGAACTCATGAAAAATAAGTGAGGGGTGAGTCTTCTTAGTACCCTGGCTATGGGCCTGGCAAACTATTATTTTTCATGAGTCCACCATACAGTTGTGCAAGAAAAAATACAGTCTGACAGTAAGGGATGCCATATTATTGTTGTTAAATAGAGAAAACATTTTACAAGTAGTTTAAATTCTAAATCTAGGACCTTATTCTTGAAACCAAAAAGACCAATAAATAGGTGTGAAGCACCATAATTTTCCCATATTAAAATAAAATTAAATACTAATTTGGCTATTGTAGTTATCTATGAATTAAAAAAAAATTACAAGAGCTGCTAGAAAAATTGTAAATCTCTATATTAGTATTATACTTATTATGTTTTTTATTATTATTTAAAGGGCCACATTCTGACTAAGGAAAGCTGGCCAATTTGTTATTTTCCTTACAAATGACAAAACACTACAGTATTTCATTTAAAACTTTAACAGAATAACCTACTTTTTTATGTGATGTAATAAATTTGTATTCAAAGTTTTTTTGTTAACTCTTTAAAAATTACTTTTGGTACATAAAAAAGTGTGCTTATGTTGACCATAACTAGCAAGTTTAGCAAAAATTAGTGCTTAAAATTTCACTAAAATGCAGTTTAAAAATTTTACAATTAAATAGAAAATGAAGTGAGGAAAAAACAGAAAAAAGACTGACCCCTTTCACCAGGCTGGCTATGGGCCTGTTTAAAAGCTGTTTTTAACAATTTATTTGACTAAATAATTCAGTGATTCATCATAAAGACTTGTATTGTTCAGGAATGAATCTGTGTTGATCAACGATTTGGTTGGAGGCTTTAAGAATAAAAAATATTTTTTGAATGTGCATGCTCACAGAGATTGTTTAAAAGGGTAATTCCTGCAAAATGAAAATTCACTCCCCATTAGCTCACAGCAAGAAAATCTGAAAAGTTCAGAGCTAATTTAAAAATATATGGGCCTATATTTGACACTATTTTGTCTTCAAGAGGAGAAAGAAATTCAGATTTGAAATGAGTAAATAATAATTATAAATAATGATAATTATATTATTCATTTTCTTTTCAGCTTGGTCCCTTTATTAATCTGGGGTCGCCACAGCGGAATGAACCGCCAACTCATGCATCACGTTTTTAAGCAGCGGATGCCCTTCCAGCCGCAACCCATCCCTGGGAAACATCCACACACTCATTCACACACATACACTACGGACAATTTAGCCTATCCAATTCATGTACCACGTCTTTGGACTTGTGGGGGAATCCGGAGCACCCGGAGGAAACCCATGCGAATGCAGGGAGAACATGCAAACTCCACACAGAAACGCCAACTGACCCAGCCGAGGCTCGAACCAGCGACCTTTGTATATAAAAAAAAAATAATTAAATTTAAATGAATGTCCAATGCTTATCTTTGAATCACAGATGCAGTGAGGACACATGTCCATACTACACCACTGATAAATCTCCATTTTTATAAACAGTTAACAAAAACAAACAGCAAATTTTCACCACAATAAAAGGCAAAAAAGCCAATACTACATGCGTGGCCTAAAATTGCATATACTGTGGGCTAAAGACAATAAAACCTATTTTTTCACATGATGTTATTCAATCCTTAGCTGTTTACTCATGGGGACTTTTGGGTTATCACAACAATGCCTTCACACACAAACATACATACGGTTTGCTGTAATACACAAGTATAAATGTACACCTCCAGTATTTCAGGGACTTTCGAAAAGTGCAGTCTTGCTGCTGTTCCTTCACCCACTGCCTCAGTGGGCCAGATATTTAGTGGTCTAATTATCAAGGTTGGTGGGCAATTTCACCTTTGCGTCCCTGAGGAAGCGGAGAAAATGCAAACCTGAAAAACTCAGTTCGCATATACACTATTCCAGATGTCTTGTGGTTGAGCAGCAGACTAATGATCAGTAGCTTCATTCGGAGTTGTGCAGGATTGTAGGCCAATTCAGCAAATGAATCTTTAATGAGGACATTTGTGCAGTGAATTAGTATGTTAATAGTAAGTTATTTTTGCTCTTATTCTACTCGTGTGATAAATCTTCGGAGTTACTTTTAGAAATAGCTCATCTACGGTATAACTCTGTTTTACGAAGCATGTCAAGAAGACTTTGTGTTTATTTGCATGTTACAAGATGATGAGAAGTTTTACCTAACTTTTACTTTCTATGGATGTGTGGTAGGTTTTCACACCCTGCCTATTTAAATACACAGCGCATTGCGTAATAACCTGCGCATCAATTCATTATGTAACTCAAGGACAGAGCGCGCATTCATAATCTCGCTCTCTCTGAATCATTTCGAATCCTCCTCCTGCTCTAAGTGAATTTTAAAGCAATCACACTCTCTCTTTGTCTCTCTCATTCAAGTCTAATATTTCCTATGTCAAGCTTCTCAAACGTAATTAAACCAAATTTAATTGAACAGGATATGCACTGGAGCTCATGAATAATTAACCAGCCTCAAATCAAAAAGGCTGTGGCTTGTTTATTTGCCAGCACTTTTGGGTAATGCGCTAGTTTAAACACAATCTCGCACGCGTATCGCAGGATTGAAGTGTACGATAAGCAGGGTTGACTCACAGGTGCAGTGGCTCGAAACAACCTTATTTTCTCCACTTTCATTAGATCAGCTAAGACACGTCAGGCCCTGCTAATAAATCCCACAAAATTTTACGCAATCCACACTTCAAATGGAGTGATTTCCAAGGTGAACCTCGCTGTAAACTTTTGTCTGTCTTGAATTGCGATCTGAACTCTCGGTTTCCATTATTGACCTTGCATTGTAAGTCTGTCACACTGCTCGGGAGTAAGTGGAGTAGACACTGTGTTTACTCCCTGCCAAGCTCAGTCCCTGTTTGAAGAGCCTCTATGGACAGCTCCAAAGCAGAGGCAAACACAGACTAGGACGCACAAGTAGCATGAGTCAAAAGTCAATTTAGTTAAGAGGTTCTTTAAAAACAAAAAGAGAGAGAGAGAGAGTAAGAGCATATACACATCAGGCCGCACACACATCACCTCAAAACATACTGTCTTTATTCAAATTTACAAAAAAGAAAAGGAAAAAGTACAACAGAATAAATACATTTTAGTACACGCCATCGTGACATCTCAGTACCAACAATTCAGTCCAATAAGAAGGCAGAAACCAGGATGAATGAAGTACAGGAACTCACATGGGACTTATTCAATCCTCTAAAGTGGTGTTTCTCAACCACATTTCTCGCGGACCACCGGCTCTTCACATTTTCCATGTCTCCTTAAACCAAACTCACCTGATTCAGATCATCTACTCATAATCAGAGACTGAAATACCTTGAATGGGTGTGACAGGCAAAGGAGACATCCAAAACATGCAGTGCTGGTGGTCCTCCGGGAACATGCTTGAGAAACACTGCTCTAAAGGATTAGTTCACCCAAAAATGGAAATTCTGTTTTAATTTCTCACCCTCGTGTCGTCTCAATCCCCTGAGACTTTTCTTCATCTTTATAGCACAAGTTAAGATGTTTTTGATGAAATCCTGGAGCTCTCTGACCCTTGACATTTAAAGTCAAGAGAAGGAACCAAAAACATTCCTGTGACTTCAGTGGTTTAATTGTAATCACACATAATTCCAGGAACACTTTTGTGCACAAAAACCCTGTAAATGACCTTATTCACCAATGTTTCTCTTTCTCATCGTGTCATTATTAGGGTGTATTTTACTATAAGCAGTATGATGTATTGCTATTAGAGTCAGCAATGCAACATGCAAGCATAGTATTAACCATTAGAAGCTTTCACACATACAGACCTTTCCGGAAAACTACTGACAATTTTCTGGAAAGGGGTTATGTGTGAACAGGTCCTTTTTGAAAATACCAGTAAATTCGTTTCAAGTTGTAACTTTATCGATAATTAGCCAGTATGCTGCTCTGAGTGAATACAGGAGGAAAACTGCCGGAAAGAGCGCATTCACGATTAGAACGTGCTGACGTGAGACGTCTACTTCAGCCAATCAGAACATTTAGATGCAATCACATCCATTCTGTTTATGAAAATAAAGGTCTTTGAATATTTTTCCAGACACATTTAGCTACTAGATGTTAGTCAGACAATGTTTCTATGTTCCTTCTTAATGCCAACTGTGTCAAAAATTATCGATAAAAGGTTTATGATAAACCACTGTTTACCTTGTTTCAGTGAGCGCCAACACACATATTATGTACATCTCGACATGCGATAGTGTTCCTCCATATGTTTTCATCTAAGTTGTTTACGATACTTATCCACCCACAGAATTTGTAGTGTAGTCAAATGTGTAAACATTTATCTGCGGTTGGCGCTTCTGCCTTTGGATGTCTCTGGGACAAAGCAGCTGCATGAATGCTAAAGCTTTCAATAAAGTTGAAACCATCCAAAAAAAAAAAACTGACCTCTCTATGATTACAATACAAGCGGAGCCGTTTAAAAGTCATTTCGGGTTAATAATGTTAGAATTTACCGGTATTTTGGAAATTTTAAATTTTTGAAATTACAGATAAAGTCATTCCAGAAAATGTTCACTGTATGAAAGGGGCTATAGTAAACATGCACCAGAACCAAAGGAGAATGTAGGCAAACAAAGCCACAAAAGTGTTCTTGGAGCTTGGTATGATTACAGTTTTGGGTTCCTTTACTGAACCTCCCTCATCTCATGAACCTTGCTGTATATGGAGGGCCAGGGACATGTCAGATTTCATTTAAAATATCTTCATTTGTGTTCTGAGGATAAACAAAGGTCTCAGGATAATAGAATGACATAAGGGGGATTAATTAATAAAGAAAATTTCATTTTTGGTTGAACTAATCTTTTAAAGAGTCACCCCATGTCTACACTGGTCTGCAGGGATGGCAGCACTAAACAGTTAAACCAAAACATTCACAGCCATATTCTGTTTTTGGAATTAATGAAATCCACTTTAGACCGTATCACTAGCAGGGTTTACATGGATTAAAATAATTAGTTTGTAATTATACTTGCAGACCTGAATAATAATTTAAAAATCACTTGTAACTACTTCAATCAGAATGAACTGCCCAAATTGGGGATTGTAGAGGGATGTTTAAATTTGTAAAAATCTGCAATGACGTTAAAATGGCATTTTTTGCCAAGAACAATATTGTCCTATCAGTCATTGCTTTGTATGCTTTTTTAAAACCAAAGAAAAAAGCAGTAGTATGTGCATCATAAACCAGTATGTAATCTGTATATTTGTGTAATGATGTCAAAAGATCAAATCCAGTTTCAATTTTGTGAAGCCACATTCACTCACTGCATAAATATACAGCTTGCCTCCTGGTTTAATCATGTTATTTTTGTCATTGTCATTAACACTGTCTGGAATTTTTGATCAGAAAAAAAAGAAGCAAAAACTGCCCACGTTAATGTAGCGACTCTTTTTGTTTTTGTCAAATACATCACACCACTCTCAACCAGTGCAGACACAGTGTTTGATCTAATAGACTCCAGGGGGAATTGTCATTGTGTAAATATACTCTTTACAATACAACAGTATTGACACTGATTGTTCATAATCACTTTAGGCTCATATTTCTGACAGAGCATGACATCTGTTGGGCTGTTTGACAAGGTGTGAGTTTGTACTGCATGATGCCCCCTGGTATTAGTGTGTAGTGGTTCAGTCCAGTCACAGTGAGTCCACAGTGTGATTAACCGGAATAATCAAAGCAGAATGTGTGCTCAACCCAGAAAAAGGACTTCACGTACATTTATCTGGAGCTTTTGCATTCAATCAAAAAAAAAAAAAAAGTTCCATTAGGGCAGAGTGACACATCTGAATCCGACATTGTACTGGTAGATATTAATCAGCGTCAGTCAATCCAGAGTCTTCCAGTCATATCCAGTGGCTGTAATATAATATAGTATATTGTCCTCCGTTTTCATTGTATTATTCTATTATTTTTTTGTTACTTACAGACTACAGTACTGTTGTCACTTTTTCACAATGGCATTCAGTGATATTTACATTTAAATGCATTTACATAGAACATCTTTTTTTCTATATATATTTTGATTTCTGTCCAATAAAAAACAACAACAACGTTTGTAATCTATTTTCGAACATCATGTATAAAAGTGCATTCTAGCTGAAGCAGATCTGTCAGCTCTCATAAATCACCTTCTGTTTTGTACGTGGGATTTTATTTTAATTTTTTTTGACAATGACTGTGCATATGCTTTGCACAATTTTAGCATCACTACATTTTAATTTTGTGACTTTTTTTTTTTCTTGGACAACTTTGTATACAATCTGTTCTTGGCAAAAAATGTGAGTCATTTTGAACCCTGACAAGTAGACATCCACGAAGCAGAATTTCCAAGCAGGGTTTAAAATTGATGTGTGTTTGTTTTGTCTGTGTGTATGTGTAAACACCAAGAATCTTTGTGCAGACACTTATTCAGGACTTTACTGTAATATTCAGTGCTTTCTTTTGAATAATTCAGTTCTCTTGCTTTTGTGAATGTATAAACAATTTCTGTACAAATATTAATTTCCCAACTCCCTCATGTGTTGCCGCAACTTTTCATCTGTGTTATTTCGGCCTAGCGTTTCTCACTCCTCCCCCGTGGCACCATTGTCTAGCTCGTCACAAATATCCAAAAGTTCAAATTTCTCTCTTCCTCTGTTGTAATTTAATGTGATCAGGTATACAGTGAACTTTGCTTTTCGCTCACCGCCAAACACACTCACGGAATGTTAAATGCTGGCTAAAGAAACACTGTGCTCACACGTCAGCTTTTCCGCACTTATTGCTTCAAATTGCATCAATCACTCTCCCCACTGCCTCTGCTCTCTCTGTTCATTTTTCCTTGTCTTCCCTTATTACCTTTCCTCTTCGTCTCTCCCTCTTTACCCTTCACTTTTCATTATTCCGCCTCTTGTTTCCTTTTAATCACTGTCCCACCCAGCCCTTCTCCATCTCTCTTTCTCTTTCTCTCAGACATTGGCCTGCTCCTCGTCTCCAGACTGCTCGTCCTTCTCTTCCCAGTCGCTTTCCTTGTGCTTTTTGCTGGCCTCCACATCTCCTTCTTTATCTTCTCCGCTCTCCTTCTCCCTTTCTCTGAAAAGCTGGGCTAATTTCTGGAACTGTGGGCCCCAATCTTCTAGACCTGCTCCCCAGACGTCCTTCTCGGCATCTTTGCCACCCTCGCTGTCCAGGGAGCTGAGAGACCCCGCGCGGGAGCCTGTGCCCTCCAGCCCATACACCTGCACCGAGTCGTATGGTGGCTGGGAGGGATCTAAGGTCACCTGCGCCAATCGCAAACGTAGGAACTCACCAACCCTCAGGGCAAGGGATTGGGCTCCTCCGACTGGTGCCCCTCTTCCTGATGCATCAGGTGGTGGGGGCCATGCTCCGCCATACCCTAAAATGCTGCCAAATGCCCCCCTGCCCTGACCGGGATATGGAAGGAGCTGAGGCGTCATATCCCTCCTTCCTAACGGATACCCCGTTATCCCCACCCTTTCATGCCAGTCTCCTATGAACCCGCCACCCTCTGGATACATCCCAGTGCTTAGTGGAATGCTGGCTTCTCTCTCTGGTCGACCCACCACGAACCCACTGCCCATCTCCAGCCCACCCCGTCCCAAAGTTCCGGGGTAGTCTCTCTGTTGCTCCCCCTGGAGGATGGTGGCGTAATTTGCACTAACAGACTGCATTTCGTTGCTCCCGTTAGCTGTGTCTGCCACCCCATTGTGGTTAGACTCAGAAGGTGCTGCGGTGCTCCTATTTATGGATATACTGCCCCGTGAGGAGTGGCGTCCTGCTCGGGGGAGCGTGGCGGAGTCGCATACCCACCCGCTGGTTGTGCCTGGCCCAGCGATAGAGCCAGAACGGGTCAAAACCAGCTCTCGGTCGCGAGCACCCGTGTCCGGCTGGACCTGTAGGGGACGGGGAGGAGCAGGAGGGTTAGAGCGGGAGGTAAGGATGAGTTTATTCTTCTGTTATTCAGCACAGGGACGTGTTTGAGAAAGGATTGTTAAAGAGAGGGAAAAGAAAGCAGAGAGAAAATTTGCAATGAGCAGGTGAAAGCTGAGAGAAATGTGATAACGATGAAGTGAGACTGCAATGTGTTGTGGAGCACGAGTAGTGGAAGGAAGTGACAAAGTCAGACAGATGGAAAAAGGAGGAAGAGTTGATAACAGATGAAACAGGTTAATTGAGCTCTAAAAAGAGCTAATGCTACACTGTGAGATGAGGATGAGATGAAAGAGAGAGTGGGAGACAACATGTGAAAACACACCTTGACTGGAAGCTAAAAAAAAAACAAGCAAAAACGAACCTGCTGGCTAAAAACTAGTTGTTTCACATTTGAAAAAAAATATATGTATGCTAGAGCGTCCTCTAGTGTCCAGTATGAATGACACAGAAATAACATTCCAAGGTATATGCTAGAGGTCTTAAACTCTGTCCACTACCCTGCTTCAACACATCTGCTTGTGTCTTTTATCTGAACCTGAAAAGCTTAATCAGCTGCTTTAGTGTTTAAATATAGCTGAGCATTGCAAGACAGTGGACATCCAGGAGAACAGTTGAAGTGTGGAAAGTATAAAAAATGAAAAACTAATGAATAAATGAAAATTAAGTTTTATCTAAAGATACTGGACTTTTTGGATACATATAAATTATTGTCAAAATTATCAATATCACAGCAAATTGCAGAAAATATTATATAATTGTAAGTCCATATCGCCCATCCCTACCAAAAAATTAGGGATGTGAATACTTTCAAATATGGGATGTCCTTCCAACCACTTCGAATGTTATCACTTGATTGAATGGGCTTTATCATTGGTTGTCAGTTGACAGATATGGGCCATTAGGGGACTTCTGCGCCTACCCGTAGGCTTAAAAAGTTGTTATCATACATCCACATAGTTAATCAGCTATATTAATATAGAAGACTCCAGATCCAGATTTGTTTTTACATTTTTGTGACAGTTGGCTTTTAGGGTGAGGCAGGGGTAGACGTTAAGAAAATACAATTAATGGGAAATTTAATAAATAATATAAATAATTCTTGTGGTTAATCAGCGATACTAATAGAAAAGACTCCAGATTAATATCTGTTTTTACATTACTGTGATGGTTGGGTTTAGGGTAGACATTTTTTATAAAATACAATGGGAAATTTAATAAATAGTATAAATAATTCTTGTTAACTTCCAGCTGCTGTCGTATATGTGATCTATAGCTGATTAACCATGCAGAAGGCCCCTACTGGCCCATATCTATCAGCTTATAATGCCCATTCAATTGAGTAATAATATTTAAATCGGCTTGTCCTTCTCTCTTATAATAAATATAAAATAAATGTGTCTTTTTCAGTCTGCAAATACATTCAAATAGTGCGTTTCATTGCATAAATGTGTACATGTATAAAAATCAGACATTAGAATTCCCTGGCTTGCCTCTTAAAAAGCGCGACGCTATGCATAAATTTCCATGACAGCAAATAACGCACATATTGTATTCATCAAAAAGTTGTACAATCCTTTAATTACATGCTGCTTTTGCCATTTCTGAATACACAACCTTCAGTGACAACTGTCTTGGAGAAACACGCGTCGTGAAATGAATATTAATATTAATTTCACAACCGTTCTCAAGTCTCCAGTTCAATGAATGTTTATTAGACATAATACATTCATACTGATTTGATGCTGCTGGAGTGTGACTGAGAAGTGCGTCTGTGAATTAAAATTAGCCATACAGGTTCTTTTTTTTTAGTTCACGTTCAGCTGTTTAACTTATCCAGCCAAAAGCAACAAGTAATTGTCTCATTTGTTTAAAAGCCCATTAATTATTCAAATTGATTTTCCTCTAGAGGATAAAATTAGTAAACTCCATCTGGTTTTTACCCCAACATTGGTTATTAAAGCACCTGAACATGATGAATCATGACTTAATAAAGATAAATTATGTTGTGTTTTTTTACCCAATCCAGATCCTGGCCTTGGCTCTGACTCTGCTGGGCATCACTGCTTATGGCGTCCTTTGGCTCGTTTTTCCTTGGCGTTCCTCCGTCAGATGCGGTTGCTCCATCCTGAGACGCTGTCCCTTCTTTAGAACCAAGACCGGCCTCTGTGGTTGGCATGTAAATGGCTCCTGGCTCCAGAGGGCCAACTACAGCCGCCTGGTTTTGAATGACTAGAGAGTGGTCCGGTTGATTCCCAGGGAGGCGGTAGGCCAGTTCGGTTAAACCAGGCTCGTAGGGACCCTGTGAGCGGCGAAGCACTGGCAGGGTGTGGCTGCTATAGCAAAAGCGGCCATATAGAGGAGCCCCTTGACTGGCGTACTGTCCAGGGTCCAGAGCTCCAGCCTGAGCCCAGCTGCTATAGGCTCGAGCCTTCTCCTGAACGTGTTGTGAATAACGTCTGGGGAGACACAGAGTATCTCATGAATGGATAATGTATTTAGTGTGACAAACAAAGGTAAAAAATCATTCATTTATGTCTTGTGACTGTGTTGTTAATAAATGTAGCCTGGCTAATAAAATTAATTAAAGTTAAAACAATGGAATAAAAATGAAATACACAAATAACCTTGGTGTGACTAAGATGTGAATGATGTTTAATGGAACATACTGTAGGGTTGAGGGCAAAATTATTAGCCCTCATGTAAAATTTCTAATATAATGGAGCAAGTTTTTTTCACAATACTTCAAATGTTATTATTTCTACTAAAGAAAGTCTTATTTGTTTTATTTGATCTAAAATAAAAGCATTTTTTAAATAATTTTAAGGTCAATATTATTAGCTTTTAGCAATATTTTTTCGAATTGGCTACAGAAAAAAACAGTTATACAATAACTTTTCTAATTTCCCTAACTTGCCTAATTAATGTAGTTAACGCCTTTAAACTGCACTTTAAGCTGAATAAAAAATATAAAATAAAAGATGAAATAAATCAGTTATTAGAAATTAGTTTTTAAAACTATTTTGTTTACAAATGTGTTAAAAAAAATCTTCATTAAAAAGAAATTGGGAAAAAAATAATAAAATAATTCAAATTTAACAGGGGGGCTAATAATTTTGACATCAACTATATATAATCAATGGATGTTCCATGTAGTCTTGGGCATATAAAATAATTTTAAATATGTATAAAAATAAAAAAATACAATAAAAAACACACAATGAATAACCATGAATATGAAAAATATTTAATAAAAACACTATGGGCCCCATCATAAACCCGGCGCAAAAAGGTGCAAGACGTTTTTGGAGCGATTTGTTGCTATTTTCAGACCAAGGCAACCGTAATTTTCCCGTTTGCATTTAGATTTGTCCACCTTTCGGGTTTTGGACACGTATGCATCAACATATGTGGCATAAGAATAGGATGTGTGTTTGGATATAGCTCAGTTTTTTAACCACACTTCATTATTGTTGTTCATTTATTTGTAGGAAATTAGAACAAAATTTAGAAATAGTTTTCAAACAAATCTTTGTGCTTAATAAACAAAATTTAAATATATAGGCTGATGGATGTACTTAGTGTAGTGCGTACAACACCGTTTCCTTATCCAGGAAAGTAAAGAAGTAAAGAAAAAGTAGAGAGGACGAATGGAGAAGGCTCATTCTTTAATCTCGCTGCAGATGGTCTGTTTAAACTGTTTTCTCTCTGGTGAAGCATTCAGTTTTTTCCATTCAGTTTTTCCACTAACAAAGTCTCCCATGTAAAAAACAAATGCGCCATGGCGTGATGCAACTGACTCTTAAGGGGGAGATGAGACTCTGATTGGTTTAATGCACGTTATGCTCAAAACACACCCTTAACTCACTACGAGAATAAGCACAACCCTGTTAGACTATGCACCCTGGCACCCCAAACCCCAAATTGTTTTTGTCCTTAAATTAGCAAAAGTGGATTCTGACATCCCCTTAATGTTTTTTGCACCATGCGCTTGATGCTTTGTGCCTAGATTGATAAAATAGAACCCTATATCATGAACCGAAATGTATTTTAGCCAATAAAATAGAATAACAATAATAAAAATTAAATAAATAAATAATTAAAGTCAATTTTAAAACAGACTAAACTCTAAAAGTTGTTATTCACTTTAATTATTCGCCTCTGCAATAGCAAATGCAAAAGCACATGCATTTGTAGCCATTTGCTTTAGTTAAGTTTTAAATAGGATTTTATAATTATGTTTTACTTTTGTTGTTCTCAAGTTTGGTGGCAACCTCCAGAGAGGTGATGTGATAAATGTGATAAAACCATAGGTGTCTGAGTCAGATGGTGTGGTCTGCAGGGAGCAAATGCTCTTTAGGCCTTCCTCTGCATTCACTTTCTGTGAGCCATTTACAGCTCAATTTAAAGTGATGTTGCATTTCTTTGAAGATAAAGACAATGTGAAAATTAAAGCTTAAAATAAGTTCATAGCAACAAAAAAACAAATCACAGATTAGGTAAAAGAAAGCTATTTATTAAAATGTATTTGTATGTCTGTTTTATCTCATTTTCCAACATTAAAGGCATAGATCACTGTAAAAAAATAATTCTGTCATTATTTACCTATTTCAAACTTTTTTTGAGTTTAATTATTCTGTTAAACAATGAAGAAGATATTTTGAAGAAAGCTGGAAAGCTGTAACCATTGACTTCCATTTGTTTTTCCTATGGAAGTTAATGATTACAGGTTTTTCAGCTTTCTTTAAAATATCTTCTTTGCGTTCTACAAAATAAAAAAGACTCATAAAGGTTTGGAACCACTTGATGGTGATTAAATATCCATTTTTTCGTGAACTATCCTTTTATATCTACATCAAACCATATGCATATTGGAAACAAAGTCACAACTTCATATGTGTTCCACTAGAAGAAAACCCAAAACCTCAGAGTGAATAAATGATCCTGAAATATTAATTATGATCTGAACCCTCCCTTCAAGTGACTTCAACAAGTTTTTCATCAAAGTACAGACCAAGTTTTTCCATTGCTGTACCAGACTAAGCGTACAAAGTGTTTGATCAGAGTTTAAACACTCACATGTTCCTGCTGTCCAGCGTGCGATACCCTCTGCGTGTGCTGTGCGGGGCGCTCTGAAGAGCTGTGATGTCAAACGCAGCCGTATCCGCCTCACCACCGCCTTCATCGTCATATGTAATGATGTTCTCTCTAACATCATCCTCTTCTAAAGGCGAGAGCGAGTCCCGTTTCTGCCGGCGCAGAGACAAAGACAGAGCACTGACAGCTACGGAGAGGAGAAACACAGAGGAAAAGAGTGAGTGTTTGATGAGGCCATATGTATTAAACAAGGAAGATGTGTGTGTTCGTGCTGGTTGACAAATTTTTGCAATAAAATGCAGGGTGCTGCAGAAAAATAGATACCCAATAGACACATTAGGGCAGCTGGCAAACTAACTCTTGCACGGACTGAATAATAATTATAATAAATAACAATAATTATATTCAATAAACACAGAAGCTCTGGTGAAAATACTGCAATTTGATTGGTCAGGCAATGTGTCTTGTGGTCTGACATTTCTACAATTTTAAAGTTGTCATTGACAGTGATGTTTTATTGAATGATCATCAATTTTTCTCAAAATTTCTCAAAAATCAAACATTACTGTCACCATCTTCAGATTTTGATGATTGTTTTGTATATTTAAGCAATATTAGGTATTTTAAAATTTGTTTTATTTAGTGTATAATGTTAGTAATAATATTGTTTAATAAATTTGGCTGAACTGTGTTTTTTGATATATATTTTTTACAGTAATGTTATATATATATATATATATATATATATATATATATATATATATATATATATATATATATATATATATATATATATATATTTTTTTTTTTTTTTTTTTTTTAACCTCAACTGCAGTTGTTCAAGCTGAATTTGTCATTAAAATATTAAATATTAATGACCCTGTACATTTTTTGACATTTCACATTTAACAAAACATTTTATTGTCAAAACCTGTTTAGAAAATTATAAAGCCTCATGACATTCATGTTTATGACAGATTTATGACAAGTTATGTTGTCTTGGCAATCTTAAGTTGAAGCCTGGTTGTGATGTATTTGTTTATGTCAAGCCATCTTAACAAATAATGTCATCTTTGCAAATTACATAACTGAGCAAGTGACACTTAATAACAGTTGTCTTAAGCATGCATAAAATTTCATTCACATTTATGAGGTGTAATGTCATGATCATAAAGGTTTCATGACACTCTTACACCTATTCAAGTAAAGTGTTACCGATGATTATTTTTTCTCTAAGTAGAAAATTTAAGATCCTATATAAATGTAATGTTTATATTTATTTTTCTATTTTAGTTGCTTTAGTGCGAGGTGAAAATTAGTTAAGCAAATAAAAATGAGCACCTTTTCCATGGCAACTAGTTAAAAAAAGATTAATTGTACGATGTATAATTAATCTGTTTCACTTTATTTGATTTCAAGTCTATTTGGTATTTCTGTTAATTTTACATAAAGTTTCATGAATTATCAATGTATTGTTTTAGTGTTTAGTTTTAGCAAAAACTAAAAAGCAACATTTAAAACTTAAAAAAACATTTAAAGGTCCCATAAAGTGCTTTGAAATATGCATTTTTATTCAATGTTTGACGTAATCGCAACCAAAACACGGAGGGCTTTATTATACACGGTGCAATAAGGTGCAATATGTGTATGGCATGATTTGTTGCTTTTTTCAGACCAGCACAACTGTCATCTCAAGTTTTCCGCCACATTGTTTAAATAGCAAACCAATTTGCGCCGCTTTGTGGACTCATGGGTGTTCCAGTCTAAAAAGGAGGTGTGTTAAGGCATTGTTAGCGCGTTGATATTTTGAGGAACTGAATTAGACTGCGCCATCGACCAACTAAAATCTGGTCTAAAAAGTAAAAAAAATTTGAGCACACTAGTGTCATGGTTGTGGATTGTGCGCACTTCCTGGTGTGTCTATGTTATTGTCACGGGGTTTTGTTTTGTTCCATTCATGTGTTTTTTTTTTTCTCTTCACTTCGTCCATTGGTGAAGTTTTTTTCCTCGCCACTGTCGCCACTGGCTTGCTTGGTTTGGGACTTGTGTACTTAGGGACTTGCGGATTTGTGCATTGATGGATTTGCTCTTCAGTGTTTGGACTTTCAGCAGTGAAAATTAAACCACACTAAACTGAACTCTGAAATCTGGACTTTACTAGAACTTCTATGTTAAGCTGCTTTGACACAATCTACATTCTAAAAACGCTATAGAAATGAACATGAATAGAATTGAATTGAATTAAACTGAAGTTTAGTGGTGTGTTGGTGTTGTTTTGTCACATGACATATTGATTTGCTGATCAGCTGTGCTGATTAAGTTACAGCAGCTGGGGCTAATTATCATGAGCACTGGGTGTTTGTATCATTGTCGCTCTTGTCTATCTCAGGACTTCTAGCTGTTTCTGGACTGCTACTTAGATCTGGACTTCTTCGGCTTTTCAATTCAGAATGTTTATTTTCTTTCTCTGTTTTTGACCTGTTTTTGCACTGTTGGATATATTGGATCCTTCCTTGTTTTTCTATTTTTTAGGGGAATGTGACAACTAGCTCATACATATCCTTAAAACTAACAGACAGACACTAACATCTAAACAAGCTTATTTTAATTTCACAGGACCGTTAAACACTTCAGATTTGTTTTTATTATTGTTTGTTTGTTTTTGCATCCAATATGTAATATCAACTTTATTTCAATGGACAGCAAAGAATTTGAATAGATTTAAATGTAATTTTAATAAACTACATCAATACATTCATTCATTCATTCATTTTCTTTTCTGCTTTGTCCTTTTATTAATCAGAGATCACCACAGCAGAATGAATGCTAACTTATCCAGCATATGTTTTACGCAGCTGCAACCCATCACTGGGAAACACACTCTCATTCACACACATAAACTACGGACGATTTAGCTTACTCAATCCACCTATAGCATATGTCGTTGGACTGTGGGGGAAACCGGAGCACCCAGAGGAAACCCATGCGAACAAGAGCAGAACATGTAAACTCCACGCAGAAATGCCAACTGACCCAGCAGAGGCTCGAACCAGCGACCTTCTTGCTGTGAGGCAACAGTGCTACCCACTGCGCCACCATGTGGCCTAGATCAATACACATGCAGTAAAAATAACAAAACAATTTCAACCCAAATCTGTTCTGTTTGGTCTTCATCAACCATTCATTATTTATTTTTCATAATGATTCCCCTCAGAAATGAAAGGGTTCATCTCAAGGGGCTATCCCATTGATTCAATTGAAATTCCATAATGACTATACATTATCACACCTGACTACATAAACCTTTACCACTTGGAAGATATTAAACTTACCCAAAAGAGTGGCCACACAGGCTAAAATGGCCAGCAGGGCGGCAGTGCTGAGTCCAGGAGAGGGTAAGGAGGAGTGCTGGGGCAAACAAACCGTCTCCCGGTCCCACTCTGCCTCACTCTGCTTCTCCTTCTCTCCAGCCCGTGCTCCGCCCCTTAGACAGGGACACACAGACACCGTCACTGTCCCCGTGCTGGTCAAACCAGAAAGCCCATCCCTTAATACCAGCGGGACATAAAGGGTGATCGAGGATGAAGTAGAGCGAGACAGAGTCTGCAAAGGTGATGCCAGCACCAAGCTAGCAGTGGGGCCTGGAAAAGAGGAGAAAAATAGCAAAGAAATTGAGAAACACAGGAAAAAAAATGGAAGGCTTTTAGATCAAATTGTGCTCGATGGAACTTTAATTTAATTGAACTCAATCGAGTGCACTTTAATTCCATTGCCGCTCGTATAACATTTGTACAGACCAGTGAGTCCAAATGCGGCATGAATGCCAGAGCACATTTCGTCTGTGTGTGTCGGGAGAAGATAGATGTGGCAGAGAAGCAAAAGCAAACAATGGGGAAAACAAAAGAGCAGGGCACAAAGCAGCCACACAATGCGGTCGCAGACACAGACTAACGGATCAAGAGAGACGCCGATGCACAAGGCTGGATGGGAGAAACAAATTGTGGAAGAGACTGCAAACCTCCACTCTCCCTGATGCTGAAGTTGAGGGCAGCGTTGGAGTCCGGAGGGATGTTGAAATGGACGGCGCTGTCATTTCCCCCCTCGTCTCTATCAATCGCCCGCAACACCTGCACCACCTGAGAAAATGAGATAGGAGAAAGATGGAGAGAGAGAGAGAGAGAGAGAGAGAAACAAAATAAGGAGCAGAGCCAAAAGCGAGGAAGGAGAGAAAGGGTAGAGGAGAGCGAAAGCGTAATGGAAAGAGAGGAGAGATTTGTTTAAAAAAAAAACTGATGCACATTTTAATCTCAGATATCAGCATTAACCTCGCCGGCACCTTTGCAAATAGGTGACTGGAGACTGATTAGCCCACACCGCGCAGTCAAACAATAATTAAGTCTGACCGAGTACTAAGCCTTGGGGAACACCCAAACATAGACGCAGCTCTAAAAACGAGGCGCTGACTCCAGAGATCCACTTAAACTAGAAATAATCATTCGGCGGGCTTCTTTTTGCAGTGCTCCCCCCTTACACATTAGGGAGAAAAGTTAAAACAAAAATGAGCCGTGCGATGCAGATCAGAGCTGAAGGCGATTGTGCTGAGGCATGAAAAAGGGTGGTTTTTTCCTTGTGATTTCAGCGTTGTACTGAAATAACGTCAAGTCGCATTAGTAGTTTCCACAGGCTTAAGGGTCACCAAACTTTCTTCGCCACAAAGAAGTTACACAAGCTTCCACTTAAATACATAAACAAGCAGACATTCACAAAGAGCTTTTATTCAAAGTAAATGACTTGTGTTACATCAAAAAAGGGATCTTTTCTATCTCTATAAATGGTTTTCTCATAAATAAGTTGTATCGATGAAAAGCAACACACAAAAGAGTACTGTATACAGTATGAGCTTCTTGTATATAAACTATTTTATGAGAAATAAATGCTTTTATTTAGCAAGGACGGACTGCATGGATTAAAATGAACTGTGTAAATGTAGTTTATAATGTTACATAAGAGATGCATCTCAAAGAATATTCTATTCATCCAACTTTATTCACCAAAAAATCTTGAAAAGCACGTCACTTCTTCCACAACTCTTTTCAGCATTGATAGTGAAAGGAAGTGTATCTATAAATGCAATGTGAAAGAGCACTAAATTGGCATCTGATTTTTTAAGGACTTTCACATTTTAAAGCTTAAAATGATCTAACTCCTATAGCCCAAACTGAATATGCAGAGACCAGGAGTGGGTTTCCCGATAACAGTGTCTCTTAGATATTGCACGTCCTCTCTGTGTGTAAAGTTTTGAACTCTCATTGCAATTTCATGTGTGCTTCTTAAAAAGGTCTATACCAAGAGTTTACTAGAGCACATTCTATGTGCTACTTTACTACTGCTACTATGTGCTACATGCATTATACCTTCATTTCCAATGAGCTGAAATATAACCTCACATGGAGTAATATATAACTTTACAAATAATTTTTTTTATGGTTTTAAGATTCAAACATTTTATAGCATTACTTTGGTTAATGGAACTGCAAGCATTTTAACAGAAATAAGAATAATGTCATGAAAAGTGCTTATATGTAATTTTTAAAAAGTTTCATCATTGCAGTGTCCCTCTCAGTGTCCCAGGTTTGAAAAATACTATAGCAGTAATGGCCGGATTGAAACACATCCTTTACTCATGGCACATTAATGGTTAATTACATGTGACACAAAATTAATTTTTAACTTTAATATTTAATATTTATTATGACAATGTTTCTTTACAATGGGTTAAAGTTTTTTTTTTAAAGGCTGTTGAAATTTTTTAAATGCTGTTTAGAAGCCATGTGCACACAGCTGAACCAAAGGCGACACTTAATAGAACATGCCATTGCAACAGCTGCTTTGTTTTTTATTTATTTATTCAAAAAGCGTATTAAAGCTGAGATACAACCTGAAAGCCGACAATACAACACTTACAATCACAATCATCAGCACCTTTAATAGTTTATTTTCCAGATTCATAATATGCTGTTGTTTCATTGAAATTTTCATTCCAAAATGGCAGCTATATGACACTAGCGGCATCTAATGGCTGTTTCCCAAATCGCACTAAAGTGTTGCCTCTTAGTGATTCTAAGCTCTTTGGCTGAACTCTCTCTCTTTTTCTCTCTCTCAAGTTCCGATTGCTCTATTGGTGTGACATTTAGAACAGTATTGCCAAAGCATTTTAGATAAGTATAAAATATATAATATATTAACATCATCAAATCAATAACATGCACAGCAGATGACAAATAAATTACAGAAAAAATAATAATAAAAAAATAATATTTGATCATAATTTATTCTTAATTAGAATAAAAGAGAGATTATTTAAATAAGGCAAATGAGTTGATAAACCATTTCTAATGGTGTACATATATTTTGCAGCCAGTTTAGACGTAATTTCATCCTCTTCGAGTGTACAGTAAAGTTTTTTTGAATCCTTTAGACTAAAGGATCTATTATTTACTTTTTCTTTCTGTCTCTTTCTCAGCCAAGCGGAAAGAAGTTTTTAATAAAAGAGTAATGTAAAAACGCAGCAACTTTAGAAAGCAAAAGCAAAAGTCGACTTCCAGACATTTTAGGAGATTTAGAAAGACTGGCCAGAGTCGCCGGACGAATTTTTAAGCCTCAAAAAGTCACATCACTGTGGGTCTCTGCAGAGCATGTGAGACTCTCTGAGGAAGTGTTGTTGACAGTTCTCGCGCATACACAATGAGCAGTACAAAATGTGTAGGGCGAGAGAAAATTTTCCACTGGTTAATCAAACGGCATGTGCGGTTACTACCTTTGGCGGATCCGAAAAAAATTGTAAAAAGATTATAATAGTGGTAAAAAAACAAACAAAAAAAAACTGTCATTAAATTTACTTGGGTGACCGTTAATATACCTTGGTGGCCCGTCCAAGTAAACTATATTTGTTGGAAGCACTGCATTGTTTCAGTTTCACGTGCACATTAACTTATAAAAAACACCCAATTTTGTTCCAAAACTATAGCAAGGTGTACTGATAACACTTCTTCAACTCGGCAAAAACACTATAAGCTTTCATTTGACTGCATTCTGCGAAGACAGCAGAATGAAAGACAGAAAAAAGGACACAAGCTACAACAGCTTAACAGATGCACGCCACCCAATTAAGAATCAAAGAAAAGCATGAGTCAGGCAAAAAAACGAAACGTACAGAAACGGGGAGTAGGCAGGCACTCGAAATGTATAAGGAACTGGAATGAGAAGCAAAATGGATGAAAGCCAACAGAGCAAAAGATGAGCAGATTATAATGTATATCTATAGAGGAGATGAGAACGAGTGAAGCATCCTCTAAATGGGAATAGCAGTGATTCAGCTGCAGGGGAAAGGCAGAAGTAATCAATCAGTGCACAGGCTATATAAATGGACACATTCACAGATGTGCAGGAAAAAAAAAAATGAGAGGAACGCCATGCACCACCAAATCCAAATCCATATGAACACAAAGCACTCCTAAATGGTTGAAGTCTTGAGAAAAAGGTAATTAATCACCCATAATTCATCTGTGACAATTACCTAATTGCAGAGCTTAATAAAAGCACTCTCATTAGAGCGCTTCCTCTGCTTTTACAGTAACAAATGAACCAGTCAATGGAGACATGTGTGCCCTTCATTGTGCCCAAAATCTGTCTTTTTCTCTCACCTGTCCGGTGGAAGCAGAGTCGCACATTGCAGTGTTGTATTGCCTGTCCAGCTCTGGAGCGTTGTCATTTAAATCCAGGGTTTCTACTGCAACCACCACTCTGGACACCTGGCTGGGGTTATCTGAGGTAAATGAGAGAGCAGAGACAGGAAATCACCCACAATACGCACGCACAACACAGCTTGAGCCACTTTCAGAGATGTGCTCGCCTCGAGTCTCGGCCACTCGAGGTAAATTGCCCTTTTGTAAAGTTTATCACACAGTTCCATGTGCGAAAATCATACGCTGAATGGCAACATTTTTTACACAGTCATGCTCTTTCCTAAAATCTAGCGAGCTGCCAGCCAAGGTGCTATTTTAAGGTTGAATGTGAAGACTACGACAAAAAGTAGCAGCATCACATGCGTCCTATACAGATAATGCAGTCATGTTACGCACTGTAAAAAAAACAAAGTGCTCCCTCTTTATATTTAGATGTATAATAACTGTAATCATGTAATGTAATCAACTGTACTGTATTGCAAAAGTCATTGTTTAACATTAGAGACAGGTTTTGTGATATGAGTATGTTAAAGGATGGGTCAAGGTATAAAATGAATCATCTGTGTAAATTACAGATGTATTTACAAATATTATTTACAATGGTTGCTACCTGCAAATCACCACCCAAAGCATTATTTTCTGAATATGCAGAGACCAGGTGCTGGTTTCTAGATGACAACGTATCTTAGATGATACAAGTCTTCTCTATGTGTAAAGTTAAGAACTCTTATTGCAATGCATGTGTGTTTCCCAAAATTGTGCGAAACATGAGCTTACTAGAGCAGCTTCTATGTGCTACTTTTCTACTGCTACTTTGTGGTATGTCCATTCTCATTTGTGAAAAGCTAAAAATATAACCTTATCTGGAGTCTTATCCTGAAACTTTAAAGGCACAGTATGTAATTTTAACCACTAGAGGGTGAATATTCGCAATAAACAAAGGCGAATTTTGATGATCTCATGAATCAGTGTGGAATCATGGGAGTTGTTTTCTTCATTACATCCTTTGGAAATCCTACAGAATGCTGCACGAAAGCAGCAGAGCTTTTATTATGCCACAATTGACCACTTCCAGTTCTTGTGATCACATTGGATAGAAGCAGCAAAGTTCTACAAATTTTTGTTATAATGCGTAACATATTAAAATGTCTTTGGTGTTTCCCAGTTTTCTATTAAATCAAACCAGAAATCGAGGTTGTATGATGTCATTGTCATGGAGACACACGTTCCATGTCACTAGCTTGTTTCTCTGCATTTGAACATTCTTTATAATATTTAGGATAATGCAAGTACACAAGTAAAAAATATATATGTAACGATGTTAAAGTATTTTTGGATATATTTACGAAAACATTCTTAAATGCTGTGCCTTTAAGCCAATACTCATCACCGAATTGAAGACAATCTATATAAAGCACCTACTTTCAAACCAAGACAATAGCAAAATGTCTGGAAAAAGAAAGAAAAGAAAGACTTGCACAAGAAATGGCCAATACATGGGGGATTTTAATGCAGCAAGTCAGCAAACCATTGACAGATTTATTTTGAAATTCTTTCCTATTTTTCCCAGCGCATTGCTTCATTTATTCATATTTTGTTCCATCATAAAATTTAGATGTGTATTTTTTGGCTTTGTTTTCAGTATTTCTTAATTATTTTATTTAATGGTTAAAGCTAATCTTCTGATTGTCCTGCAGGTGACATTGTACTGTAAGTCTGTCTTTTTACAATGCTACAGTAGATCATAGAACCACAACAAATTCAAAGTGCTAAGTAAGTTAGGATGCTTTTGAGAAACAGACCATTAAGATTATTTGTATGATTATCTACTTCGTTAATGTGAAACACAGATGACCAGAAACAACTATACTATAATACTACACTCACTGGCCACTTTATTAGGTACACCTGACTAGTACCGTGTTGGACCCACTTTTGCCTCCAGATCTGCCTTAATCCTTCTGGAAATATTCCTCAGAGAATTTGGTCCATATTGACATGATAGCATCCCGCAGTTGCTGCAGATTTGTTGGCTGCACATCCATGATGTGAATTACCCATTCCACCACATCGCTAAGATGCTTTATTGGATTGAGTTCTGGTGACTGTGGATGCCATTTGATAACAGGGATCTCATTGTCATGTTCAAGAAACCAGTATGAGATGGTTCACGCTTTATGACATCCTACCATCTGAATGTCGCAGCAGAAATCGAGACTCATCAGACCAGGCAACATTTTCCCAATCTTCTATTGTCCAATTTTGGTGAGCCTGTGCAAATTGTAGCCTCAGTTTCCTATTCTTAGCTGACAGGAGTGGTACCCGGTGTGATCTTCTGCTGCTGTGGTCCATCTGCCTCAAAGTTTAACGCTTTGTGCATTCAGAGAGGCTCTTCTCCATACCTCGGTTTTAACTTGTTGTTATTTAAGTTACTGTTGCCTTTCTATCAGCTCAAACCAATCTGGCCATTTTCCTCTGACCCATCAACAAGGCATTTGCACTCACAGAACTGCTGCTGGATATTTTCTCTTTTTCTGACTATTTTCTGTAAACCCTAGAGATATTTGTGCGTGAAAATCCAAGATCAGCAGTTTCTGAATTACTCAGACCAGCCATTCTGGCTACAACAACCATGCCATGTTCAAAGTCATTTAAATCCCCTTTCTTCCCCATTCTGATGCTCAGTTTGAACTGCAGCAGATCATCTTGACAAAGTCTACATGCCTAAATGCATTGAGTTGCTGCCATGTGATTGGCTGAATAGAAATTTGCATTAACGAGCAGTTAAACAGGTGTACCTAATAAAGTGGCCGGTGAGTGTTTATTACAATAATACACTCTAAAAATGACTTTTATTGCTTGTTCAATCTAATTGTAAACGAATTCAAACAACACAATTGTTCTTTTTTTAGGTACAACTTAATTTATTTATTTTTAATCCACTTAAATTTGTAAAAAAAAAACAAAAAAAAACATTATATTAATTTAATTGATTTGTGTTGGACAACATTAAGACATTTTTACAGTGTACATCATACATCATTTACCGGTGAAAAGCATTTCAAAATGGTTAGATAACTCTACACTGTAAACAATTAAATAAAAAGATTGTCATGACAGCATATGCTTTTAGTTCATTGTAACTTCATGTTCTAACTGAATTTTATAAGTTATGCAAGCAGTTTTAAGTCAGTTTAACATAGTATAAGTTCAATGTTCTCAAAAGGTTAATTTGATTCAGCTTAAAAATGTAAGGCAACCAGGATTTTTGTCCAGAAGTCAGTAAGTGATAAGCATATGATTATGATGCTAGGCAGTAGGCAGCATGGCACCTTGTTTTTAAACACAGAGGTTTCAGCAGTCACTTGTCATACTGCAGACAAATGGCTTGTCATAACAAACAAACAGCTTTCGGTAGCTTTTAATTCAAGATATATTTCCGTTGGCATATTGGTACTGCAGTATACGTTGAACCAACTTAATGGATTGGTGTGAGCCTAAAGAGAAATTGAACCATTCTGTCTCTCTCGTTATAATTCAGTCCCACACACTTGCCTGTGGTTTGGACGGCTTTCACACAAATGTCTTGGACAGCATCCACACACACACAGCTGTGACATGATGTTGTGGATTAGTGCCCACTGCTTCACATTACCAAGAAGAGGCTTTGCTTATAATAGCCATCAGGCCTCCCTGAAGCTGCTTAGACCTACTTCCCAAACTGTAACACAGCACTATAGATCCTCTACTAACACAAATTCAATGTATGTTTTAAGCCACGTTTAATCCGTGCACGAGTATACAGTAGCTCATAAATAAATCATATGAATGGTAATCTGTTTAGCACCACTATTTTATTAAGCGGGCATGGTGGCGTGGGTATTTTGAACCAGAATTAAGTATACTTGACCTAAAGAACAGTAAGTTATACTGACCGATGTGCATGTCACTTTATCTTAGGGAGCTATGAACTATAAAAAGCAATGCATTTTTCAGTAGCCTGACAGTTGCTCAAGAATAGTGCAGCTTTTCCAGTAATAAGCTACTTTTGAAAGCGTGTGTGCCGGTGACAAATCACTGTTTCTAATGTCACATTGTATTGTGCGCATGGTTTTACAGTTGAGCAAACTGAACCATTACTCTAATGTGCTCTCCTGAACTGAACTGTGTCGTCTTTCAAAGGCAGAAGTGATGGAGTTTTCCTTACAATCTAAGAGAAATCTGTAATAATACAGTATGGTGTAATGTGTTCATTTTTCATGCTCATTTTTTCACAGGTGCTTTAAGTGCAGGGTACATACTTTTAGTTAATCATTGTGGTGTTTTAGGGTTAAAAGGAATACTGATTTAACAGAAAATGTAGAACGTAAACTCCTTTTCTAAGGATGTTGTTCTTGTAGTTTATGAATTTAGGTTTACCAGAATTAAAATAAAAAACAAAAACGACTTATGCCACTAATTTAAAAAAAAAAAAAAAAAAAAATATATATATATATATATATATATATATATATATATATATATATATATATATATATTTACCTGTGAGATTGGGTTAACTATGCAGAAGTCACTGCTGTTTTTTGTTTTAGAATTATTCTTTATCAATATTCCATTTGGCTGTATCTTATTTTTGTTGTTGCACCATGTTTTGTTTAATGCTGTCACACCCCTCACCCACTGTAAATCCCCTCACTGATACATCCAGAAACCTCAAAGAGCTTTGATTTCAACATATAGCTGCACATTTAATATTTATACTAAATTAAATTAGTAATACAATTATAAAACTTTCACTATAGATAGCTAATTTGTAGTTTGGTGAAATATTTTCAAGTAGAGTAAGTACTTGGTCATTATTGACCTTGTGGGGACATTTTTTTCCCAAGGAGGAAAACAGCTTGTAAGTCATGCAAAATAATGCTTCATTAAAATTGTGTAATGCAGAGCATTTACTGCGAGGGTAATGTTTAAGGGTAGGGGCTAAAAAATACACTTTTTACAACATAAAAATAATTTGGTCTTTGAAAAGTCCCCATAAAACATGGAACCCCAACATGTGTGAGTGTATGTGGTTTATGTGGACATTGTTTAATGATTCAATTCAATCAAAGACTATAGAATACACAAGATGTGTCACACGTACAGTATAGTTTTGAATGGGAAAATCTGTAACAGTCAATATGGCGAATGAACGCCTACTATTACAGGAGCCAATCATTGATCGCTATACACACACTGGAATCTAAGCGAATACTTGCTTTACAGACATTAGAAATATATCCACATAAAACTTAAAACATTGTACTTTTAAATGAACCAACTATAAGTTTTTTGGTTTTGTAATCTGTATGAAAAGAACACAAGTTACAGTTCGTCCTGTCAAATGCACATCACATGACAGCAACTACTCAAAAACACACAAACTAGTTAACAAAGAGTCGCTGTTATTTCTGTAAGAGATTCACTATAAAGACCAAGTTGTGAATTAGCTCAGAAGATGGTAAAGTGTAAAACAGCCACAAATGAGGTTGTTGTGGTGATCTTGTTTTTGTTTTTTGTTTTTTTTTTGAGTGCGCATGTGCACACACAGCTGAAAATATGCTAATTTTGTTTGATTCGAATGTTTAGATACAAAACTTATGTGACAGTTGTTGTTTAATTTTATTGGTGATTCCAAATATGTAATATAATTATAAGCTTGGCAAACAGTTTTGGAGAATTTCATGTTTCCCTATTCAGACAGAACGCCCGAGAGGTGTTTAAAAAATGGCCGCAGAGTGAAATGACTTGCCTTAAAGGGACTTTAATTCAAGTTTATTTATATAGCGCTTTTCACGTAATTAATGTTTCAAAGCAGTTTTACCAAAAGGTGCTCATTATTGCATTACAATCAAAACTGACATGGGTATCACCTAGTTGTACTCTATTAAGGTGGTTTATGAGGACACTATGTCCTTGTAATTCAGAACACTTAAAAATCCTACTTAACAGGGTCTTTTGGTATCTTCCACTGAGGGTTGGGTTTTGGGGCAGGTGTAGAGAAGGGTATAAAATAAGATTTTTTTACAATATTAAATACATTATGCCTTCAGAAAGACCTTATAAACCATAAATACAAGTATGTTTGTGTACTATATGTGTGTGTGTACCTCTCTGTGTGGCGATGATGGTGATATTGTGCCACTGCTCATGCTCACGGTCCAGCTCGGTGACTGTAGTGATGAGTCCTGTGTCTGGAGTGATGCGAAACAGAGCTTCTGGGTCAGACTGAGGATCGATGGAGAACCTGAGGGAGAAAACAGACAAAGAAAGACAAATGGAGAGAGCGGGAAATGTGTGGCGTACACAAGAGGTGAGCAGATGCACTGAGCCCCAGCTTATCAGAAAATCTGTCATTCAGGAGCTGCTTTAAACCCAGTGGCACGAAACAAAAGAGCTGCGATTGGCAAAGTAGGAATCCTCAGATCCCTAAGCAGGCAGTGTTGAAATAACTCAAGTTCACCGGGATGAATATTGATCAGTATCTTTGGGATTGTCCATATGGAAACAAGCAAGCGCATCTTGTAACAGGAACACCCTGATCTCTGTGATAATGTTTTGAAGTGTTTTAGCATTGAACAGAGAAGAGCATAAACATAATTAATTACTGACAAAATGGCTGCTTTCCAAACCCTAATGAGCTGCCTATCCAGGGCTGCTGATTTAGGTATCCCAGGCACGTTCCTTATGTGAAGCCTGTTCCAAAAAACAGGCAGCAGAATTATGCTGCCTTTATAGATTTTCTTATTAGAGCCAAGTTTAAGGCAGCATGGATCTTTTTGTGTGAAATACAATCTCATAATATGCTGCACTGAGTGAATATTAGGGAGTATTTTCCATTCAAGATGATGCATGAAGTCATTTTATATGGAATCTAAAAGATTGATTAATACACCTGCACATTTACTGAAAAAGCGGGGAAGATTGTGAGAATAAAGAATTAGGGCCCTATCCTACACCGAGTACAATAAGGCGCAAGACGTGTTTGGCACGATTTGTTGCTGTTGTCAGACCAACACAACCCTATTTTCCAGTTTTTCCACCACGTTGTTTAAATAGTAAATTAATTGGTGTTGCTTTGTAGACTCATGAATGTTCCCGTCTAGAAAGGAAGTGTGTTAAGGCGTCCTGTTGGTTCGTTGCTATTTTGAGGAACTAAAATGACCAGCTGAAAGCAGGTCTAAAGTCCAGCGCAGAGCATGTTAGTTGTGTGCCTTAAATGCGTACACATTGCTTAATACACACAGGATGTACAGCAGTACAACAATATCTTTACAAATGAAAAAGAATAAAAGCTTAAAAACAAGCTGATTTAAAAAAATGTATTTAGAAACTACTAATTCCTAAATTTTAATTGCTATATATAAAATACAGAAATACACACATCAGCAATGTGATAAAAAAACTATAAATTGTGACTGTTTTTCCAAATCTAATAAAAAGAAACTAATTAAAAAGTAAATATTTTTAGCTCACAATTATGCTTTGTTTTTAAGGTTAAAAAATATAAATTGAAAATGTGTATTATTTCTTTGTTTTTTTTTTTTTAATCAGATTTGAAAAAAAAATAGACTCAAAATTTATTTTTCCACTTTTAAAATTGAGTTTATATCTTGTAAAATAAATTAAAAATCTCAGTAATACAACTTTACATTTATTTTCTTATGATGATTTATTTACATTTATGATGATGATGATTATTGTTTTGACAGTTTTAGTATTGGCATTAATCAATAATTATAGAATAAAAAAACATTTATTAATATGCCGTTTATGTTATGTTATGTTATTAGTTTTACTACAGATTTATTTATGTTCTTTTATATAATGTATTAATTTTATTGCTTTTTTATTTTTATTGAATGTTTTCATAAGTTTTAGCAATTATGTACTTCATTCATTACAAGTTTCTATTTAGTATTTATGTATACAATAATGATATTTTCATACTTAAATTTGATCATATTTTATTTCAGGCAAGCTCATTATCATGTTTGTTGCACGTTTATGCTTTGAATCTAATAATAATTTATTTTTTTATTTAATTAACAAAATATGCCCTTTAAACAGTTTTACTTGATATGAAACAATGTAGTTTTATTAGTTCTCCATTAATTCTTCATGCATGTTTAAAAGTTGTAAATACAAATTTACATACGAGTTTACATTTCACAATTTTGAGAAAACAAATTGACAATATGCAAATGTAACTGAAAAGTCACAGTTTTTAACCCCTAAACAAACAAGTTTACATGTAAACGATGTATACAAATAATTTGAAAACATACTCATATGGACTTTAATTAATTACATTAATTAATTTTTTCCAGCATACCTGATATTGTTTGTAAGCCCCGTGTCTGGATCCACAGCACTGATGCGGCCAACTGTGCAGGCCGGTGGACAGTTTTCAGACACGTCCATACGGTATCGAGCGCGTGAGAAGCGAGGAGGCTCGTCTGCATCCAGCACAGCTACTCTAATGGAGGCCCTGTCTTTAAAGGGCCCACGTCGCAGAAATCGAGGGTCCACAATGGGGTTCAGCACCTCCACTGAGAAAGAGTAAGAGCTGCGGCTCTCATAGTCCACTGCCTGCACATTAAACACAAAGCATAAACATAAAGACAAGACTGAAGTAAACAATGACTACTGTACTTAATATATCCTGTATATCACAGATCATTTACTGTAGAACACACACTGATGCATTATTAATATGGGCATCTGCCTTTAAAAGTAGCAGACTGCTCTTGTGATTTAAGAAAAAAGCACTTGTTATATCAACTTAATTGTTAAAAGGGCATATTTTGTTGAATTAAAATATAAATATTAAATCCAAAGCATACATGTGTGCAACAAAATTGAAAATGATTTTGCCTGAAATAAAATATGTTCCAGTTTATGTATTAAAATAAAAAAACTAAATAAACATGAACGCTAAAAAGAAATTCTTAATGAAATAGTACATAATTGCTAAAAAAAAAAAGCAAGCATTTAATTAAAAACAGAAAAAAATGAAACCAAAAATCTAAATATTAACACATTATATAAAATATTAATACATTTTATAGAATATAGATTTACTTAATTGAAACTGAGAAACAGGGCATATTAAAAAAAACTGTATTTTTAAAATGTATAATTATTGTTTTACACTAATAATTATGTAGTCAATTCAATAATAATCATCACCACTATTATATAAATTATATCAATATTATTTATTCATACATTTTTAATAATATAATAATAAAACATTATATAAATATACTTATTATTATTAGTTAAAATAAGTATAATTGTTTAAATTCACTTAATGCCAATAACTGAGCAATGCAGAACAATAAAATATAAATCATACAGTAATTAGTCTAATTTATTAATAACATCCTGGCCAAATTTGCCCACTCCGCTCTGTCCATCATGGCCTCCTAACCATCCCCATATCATAAATGGCTTCATTACTTTTACGCTTTAAGTGTCCAGAAAATCGCTATATAAATGTAAGGAATCATTACTATTATATAAAAAAAGTGTTCAAAGTGCAACTGCTCAATGCAATATTTATATAAACCATGATCAATAATATGGCTCAGTGTGAGGCGAAATCATTTGACAGTGTAAAAGAAATATGTAAAAGAAATGTTAAAACAACAACCACCAGAATCTACAAACAAGAAAATAATAAAAAGAAAACTAGCTCACTTTCTTAAACGCTATAAAATGCAAAATGGTGAGAGAACTGAACTTTAATGACATGATAAAGCGTTCTTGGAGCAAGCAAGAAAGAAACCCATCTGCTATGATAATACCCAATCAAATTTATATGCTTTTGGTGATGTTGTTGCTCCTAAGATAGCAATTGCATGACCTGAAAAAGGCTGTTAAATTACAGTGGAAAGACGCTGATGGGATAGTAAATAAACAATCCTGTTTGCTGGCTGAGCATAAAAAAATAATATATGAGGCTGTGGCAAATGTGGTGCCGGTGAATCTTTGACATTCAGTTTAAACTTGAAGTGAGCAGTAAATAAAAGCAGATCGCTCTGACTATAATCAATGAAGCTGTCGACACTGCGAGCTAGAGCTCCAAACCCAGAGTGCATCAGCGTCACACTCCATTCCTGCTGACTATGACTGTGCTCTTCAACTACAAGCCACTGCATAGTGGTGTTGTCACAATGCTGGAATTTATAACTTCGATACGGTAACTTAAAAGTATTGATACTCAATATAGTTGTCAATAACACTGCAAAATACTGCCACTGCATTAATTAAAGTCATCAAGAGCAAGTTTTACCTAAAGCTATACCTAAAGTTTCTGTAAGATATATTGGCAAAACAAATCTCAGCTTTAAATTTTTTCGCGAAATGTAAAATACTTTGCTCCAGTTACCTTTGATTGCACATTTCAGATGAGAAATCCACTAGAGGGCACTGTCTACATTTTTTTGCAAATCTGAAATATGTTACATTTTGTAATTCTGCCACTGCATTAATAAACCTTTACATACTAACCTCTACCTAAATGTTATACATAAAACTGCCAGCAAGTAAAGTTTCTGCAAAGATATATCGGAAATATGTACCTCAGCTTACATATTAGGCAAAACACAAAATACATTGCTCCGGCTACGTTTTCTTGCACGTTCCAAGAAATCCACTAGAAGGAACTGTCTACATTTTTTGCAAATCTGAAATATGTTACGTTTTGCAATACTGCCACTGCATTAATTAAAATTTACCTATTATGCTGTGTTCACATCCGACATGGAAGAAGCACCAAGCGTGCAAGATTTACAATGTTAAGTCAATGCAAAGGCGCAAATAGACATCTTGCAGCATGATACGTGCGAAAAGGGCGACGCAAATTAAGCGATTCACGCAAATGAAGTGGTGCAAGTTGAGCATTTTGCACAATTTAGTGATTAACCCGTGTATCACGCATATAGCTTGAGTTAAAAATCTGAACTTCAGTGGACATGCGCTCTGCATTAACCAATCAGAAGCTTGCTATTGTGGGGGCATGATTATGATATAGCACCTGTTGTTGGTGTCTGGAGGGAAAATCCTACTCCCAACACCGAAAAACAGTTCGTAAAAAAACGTAAAATATCTTGCTGCGGGTACATTTTGTTGCACGTTTCAGATGACAAATCCACTAGAGGGCAATGTCTATTTTTTTTTTTTTTTTGCGAATCTGAAAAATGTTTCGTTTTGTTGTATGGTACATGTGCTTCTTATATGTCCATGTCCTAAGGTAGGTCATGTTGAACATATCAATTAATATTAAATAAGAAATTACAAGCCAAACTTAAAATTAAAACATTATTTAAGTTGAGATTAAGATTCTCTACTGCGATTTGCACTTTAAAATTATAAAAGCAAACGATGCACAGAGTTCACAACATCAATGCTAAAATATGCAGCTGTAAATGCTGGATAAATGGAAAACTGTGGTGGGACAGGGGAGCCGTTGCACTCCACAAAAGTAATATATTACTTTTATACAGTATACTATTACTATATTATAACTGTTTACCTTACTCTTAAAAAATTAAATGTGAAAATGCCATGAACGGTCACATGACTTTCATTAAAAAAGTAACTAAGTGGCAGGTTAATTTCCTTTTTTAAAGTGAATTATGATTGTGATATGAAGTCTTTTGCTAGCACAACTGTACAGCATTCCAAGAACAGCATCTTTAATCACTGTGTGTTTTTTTAAATATATAAATCTCAATCTCCTGAAATGCAGTCATTGTCTTTGATTAGGTTGGCCAAGCTGATGCAGCAGCAGCAGCGGCCAGTATTTATTGCATTGTGAAGAGTCAGGATCTGGATCTGGCACTGGGATGCTGTGTGGGACGCTGGCACACCAGGAATGGGTAATGGTCTAGTTTTGGCGAGCATGGCTGGACTGGGGTTGAAGGAATCAGAAATGACTGGCTCATTACGATGGTCACTTTTGTCATGAATGTTCTCTATTCATTTGCCCTATGATTTCAGTAATGTGGAAAATGTGGACAGAATCCAGTTGTAATAATATGAATTTGGTGACGTTTGGATGAATAAATATAAAAGAACATAAGTCTATGCTTATAATTAAATTTGTCATATGAAAAATCCAAAACAGAAAAATAAATAAATAAATATATAAATAAACGAGTCAATAATTAAATAAAAAAGTAAATAAATGTGTCAATAAATACATAAATAAATGAGTCAATAAAAAATGAATAAATAAGTCAATATAGATAATTCAATAATTACACAAATAAATAAACAAATAAAAAAATTATAAATTGTTAATTCAATAAATAAATAATTCAATAAATAAATTAATTAATAATTCAAAAAATTAATAAAAAATTCAGTAAATAAATAATTTACTTAATTAATTAATAATTCAATAAATAAACAAATTCATTCTGAATTTCTGACTTCTGAATTTCTGAATTATCTGACTTATTATTATCTTAATTATCTGAAAAAAAACTGTCCAGAAATATTAAAACAGAAAGCAATAAGAAAAAATAAAAGATAAAAACATAATAAAAAACTGAATTAAATAAATTAATTAATTAATAAACAATAAACCTCATTTTCATTTCTCATATTATCATATTATATTTACATGCTTGTTGTTGGGGGTAATTGACTTCATAGGGACTTATATACTACTTTACACACACATTCGTACCTACTTTCTCTCTCTCTTTCTCTCTCTCTCTCTTTCTCTATTGCAACAGCAAGCTGGCATTGTAAGGAGTCAGTGGGGCATCCAATATGTTTGGCCTCGGTTTGCTGTGATGGGCTGAAGGACAGACCCAAACAAGCTGGATTAAAGTGAGCTGACTGAAGGACATGAGGTCACGATGGTCACTACAAATCTCTGCCACGTTCTCTCTCTCACCAGAGTTGGACTCTGGATCTCCACGACACTCATAAATATGGTCTGAGACTCATTACTTGGTATTTTGGTCTGGCTCTCAAATCCTCTTGCCTTATGTTTAGAAGACCTCAAAAGGCCACTCGCAGAGGTGGTCATTTCCTCAACTATAAGGGCGTTTTCAAGCTTGTAGATCAATTGTTTTGTTCCAAAACAGAAAGAAACAAAAATGGTGCAATTTCTTCTTGGTTCGAATCGCTTTCAGAAGGCATCTATCAGAATGAAAAGACAGCAGTTCAGTGTGCTTGTTGTGGCTTTCTGTATAGCTGCTGTTGTATTATTGTATCATTTTGAGCAAGAATCAAGGTTTCAGCTATATTTTTATGTATTTTGGACAGTTGTTCTGAAATATGTTCAGTTAGGAACTTCACAATTGTCTTTACTCCAACTATAGGTTAACCCACGATTCATTCCAAATGAATCCGATTGCTGTCTCACCACATTGGTCATGTAGAATTGCTCCTGAGTTTTTTTGTTTTTTTAGGAGACTGGGAACACCTCATTCAGGCGATCACAGACTGATTGTTTTGGTGCAGATTCAAGTGTGATTGCTGTATTTGCATTTATCCAAATGAACTGAACTAAAAACCAGGTCCTAAACAACAAGCCAGTTGTGAAAAACCCAAAATTACAGACGTTTACAAAAACAAATTGTGTATTAGTGGAAGGAGGTCATCGTTCAGGTTTTTTAATAACATAAATGCTAACTTGCAATTATCAATTTAACATCTGCCCTGGCATGCATATAAAATAAGTAAATAAATAAATAAATAAATAAATAAATAAATAAATAAATAAATTTCAGCCATAGGTAATCACTCATACATTTTTCTCCAGCTTAGTCCCTTATTTATCAGGAGTCAACACAGTGGAATGACCTACTAACTATTCTGGCACATTTTACACAGCGGATGCACTTCCAGCCACAACCCAGTACTGGGAAACACCCATACACTCTCACATTCACACACACTCATACACTAAGGCCAATTTAGCATACCTATACCTATAGCGCATGTCTTTGGACAGTGGGGGAAACCGGAGCACCCAGAGGAACCCCACGTGAACACAAGATGAACATACTGTAAAAATTCATACTGCCAACTGACCCAGCAGGGACTCGAACCAGTACACTCAAAAAAATACTTTTTTTTAACTCGTTCAAACTACTTAATGAAAATTAGCTGAAACAACACAATTCTTAAGATTTTATTGGGACAACTTAATTTTTTATGTTCAATCCACATAAATTTGTTAAAAGTGTTAAGTTAATTTATGTTGGGACAAGATGATTGAATTGTGTTGAAGCCTGCATTTTTTTTCAGTGTAGTAAAAACATGGAGGTCAATGGGTTCCATTTCCAACATTCTTTAAAATATCTTCTTTTGTGTTCATCGGATTAAATAAATTCTAAAATGTTTATGTCAGGTTGAGGGTGAGTCAACAGTGACAGTTTTCATTTTGGGGGGACTTTACAGAACTTTACATGTCTTATAAATTCACAGCCGCATTACAGGGTTAAAATGAAATGATAACTTCAATCTAATTTAATTTAAAAATGTAGGCATTAATCTTTTTTACCAGATGTATCACAGCTGCAAGGATTTGCTATTGTTAGTGTGATCCGGCACTGAAGTTGAGCTGTGAGGTTTGGCACACAGTCTGCATTTCAGTTCATCTCAAAGGAGTTCATTTGGGTTCAAGTCTGGGCTTTGTGCAAGTCAGTGGAGTTCATCTACACCAGACTCAGGAAGTCATTCTTTATGCACTTTGTGCACAGGGACATTGTCAAGCTGGAACAAAAAGGCCCTCCTCAAACTGCTGCCATAAAGCTGGAAGCAGCCTGGAACTTCACTGTATGCCGGAATATTTAAGATTTGTTGGCACGGCAAGCATACATTAGATTGATCAAAAGTAAAGACATTTTAAAAGTAAACCTAAAGTAAAGCCATTTACTGGACTGAACGTTTAACTGCATTAATTCTCTAAAAAATGTAAGTAGTGACAAATGCATAATTTGGTGCATTGCGTACAGAACTGAACTAACAAACTACTTGTTAATGTCAAGATTAAGAAACACACATTAGTACAAAAGAAACAAAAGAAAGAAAACAATTTAATTTGAATAATAATAAAATAATCCTGAAATATTTGATACAAAATATATAATTTAACATGATTAAAAAAGAAGCATAAAACGTCATTCTTTCATTTTCGTTCGGCTTATAGGTGCTTATTTCAATAGTATCTGGATGCAGCCTTTATGATGCAAGCTGAAATTGTATCACTCAGCGATGCATGGTCAGACACAATGCACTCAAATGGAGCGAGTGACGTCACGGTGAGGGGTAGGGTTAAGGGTTGGGTTAGGTGAGCCCATTAAAAAGCATTGGATGCAGCCCAGATTGCACTGCACCAGACCCCTCTCGCTTATCAGGGGTTGCCACAGTGGAAAACGGAGCACTTGGAGCAAACCCATATGAACACGAGGAGAACATGCAAACTACACACAGAAATGCCAACTGGTCCAGCCGGGATTAAAATCAGCAACATTCTTGCTGTGAAGCGACAGTGCTAACCACTGAGACCCTCGCATTCATTTGCTATGGCCAATTTTCTGTTTACCCAGTTCACTTATACTGCATGTCTTTGGACTGTTGGGGAAACCAGAGCACCCAGAGGAAACTGTGAGGCGACCACTGAGCCACTATAAATGAATAGACAGACAGACAGACAGACAGACAGACGGACAGACGGACAGACGGACAGACGGACAGATAGATAGATAGATAGATAGATAGATAGATAGATAGATAGATAGATAGATAGATAGATAGATAGATAGATAGATAGATAGATAGATAGATAGATAGATAGATAGATAGATAGATAGATAGATAGTATTGAATAATAGAAACCATTTTTTAATCATTTTTAAACTTTTAATCAAACAATCATTTGTATTGGTCATGTAAGGGTCATATATTAACTGAACTTTTAATGTTGTGGGTGAGTGCTGTGCATACTAATTAGCATTTTTGCAGAAGTAGATAGATGCGGGTCCAAAATTAAATTCAGCTCTGCAGAAACTTCCTGTCTGAAGAGAGGTGTTAAAACTGAACACAGAACACAGAAAGATGTATACTTTGTTGTTGGGCAGAGAATAGAAAAAGAGGAAGTATGTCAAAGGTGTGGCCAATGGAGGACTGAACAATGACTGACAAGTGACGTTACACCAAAACTCCACCTGTTAAGATCGGTTGTGTATTTATACTGGAGTCAGGAAATGTATGTTAGTTGCAAACCTCTTGAATGTAATTCTTGTATTGCATTGGGGTAAAGTAACCCAGAGCTCTGTCATCGAATTATTCATTTGTATCCAATAAATTGTTACGATTTTTGACATTGAAGAAAAACCTCTCCAGACCTTTTCTCTTGAACACGCATGGAATAGAGATAGATATTCCAACAATAGATAGATTAAAATAAATTTAAATAAATAAATACAATTACAAAAGAATTGGCAAAACAAACATTAAGCATCATAGCTGATTTCAACATTCATTCATTCATTCATTTTCTTTTCAGCTTAGTCCCTTTATTAATCTGGGGTTGCCACAGCGGAATGAACCGCCAACTTATCCAGCATATATTTTATGCAGCGGATGCCCTTTCAGCTGCAACCCATCACTGGGAAACATCTATAAACACTCATAAACACACATTTGCTACAAACAATTTAGCTTACCCAATTCACCAATACAGCTGAAGTCAGAATTATTAGCCCCCCTTTATTTTTTTATTTATTTTTTAAACATTTCCCAAATGATGTTTAACAAAGCAAGGAATTTTTCATAGTTTGTCTAATAATATTTTTTCTTCTTGAGAAAGTCGTATTTGTTTTATTTCTTAATTTTCTAAACACCATATTAAGGACAAAATTGGGGTTGAATAAACTGTGGGGCTAATAATTCAGGGGAGCTAATAATTCTGACTTTAACTGTACCACATGTCTTCGGACTTGTGATTTCAACATTGATAACAATAATAAGAAATGTTTCATATGCACTAAAATAGACTGGAACAATGATGACAGATAATCTGCTTTGCCATCACATAAAAAGTATTTTAATAAAAACATTACAATAAAAAAATAATTCAACACATGAAAATGTAATACAATAATAAATAATAAATGACTCAGTAAGAAGAGGACAGCTGAAGGACACCGGAAATACAAACGCAACAGGGGCATGAAAAGAACAAAAATGAAGGTGAGAAAGAGAAAGAAAAAAAGGGGGACAGAGAGTCAAGCCAAGAGAGAGGAGGAGGGATAAATGGAGAGAAAAGGCTCCTAACAGGATCCCATTAGAGGCAGAGAGAGACAATCTGTCTGAGGAGGAGAGATGTCACTTACACTGTGAGCACACACTCATCACCTCATCCCTTCCTCTCTCACATCCTCAATCACTCGCTCTCCCTCTCTCTCAGTTCCTCTGCCATCCCTCCATCACTCGCTCTACACCCCTCCGTCTGCACAGCGACATCTACAATACACACTCATCCCTCTCTCACGCCTGTTTATCATAAAGCTGAGTGAAAAGACCAACAGCCCACTTCCTGCTGCGTTTTGCTCTAGTGGATGACATGTGTTTGTATGGGAAACGCTTTTATCCACATTCGAAAAATTACTGGGTTGTTTCAACCCAGATATGGGTGAAATGTTAACAAGCACAGCTGTTGGGTTGAAAATTTAGCTTAATGGTATATTAAAGGGGACCTGCTATGCAAAAATCACTTTTATAAGGTGTTTAAGCACAGTTGTGTGGCAACAGCGTGTAAATATATCCTGTCTTTGATGGTAAAACTTAATTAACTCTATTTTTTTCTAATCAAACTTCATAAAAACAGTCTGCAGAAACACTTTGATTGATGTTCTCCCTTTGTACGTGTCATCAGAGGGGGAAAGCCCCAGCCATTAGTGCAGATCTCTCATTAGCATAAACAGCCCTGAGTGAGAAGCAGCCATTATGCTGACTCATTTGTATCTCCGCCCTTTTTTGAAAAGAGGGCTGGAAAAATAATCTCATTAAAATGTA